AATGCTCAACTGGACCTTGTGTTTGGTATGTGGGGCAGATTTCCTTGTATTCAATTTTTCAGTAATCTGATGACTGGCTGTTATTTACAGTGCAGTGCCTATTGACGAGTTGGTAAAAACCAAATGGAAGTTTTCTGATTTTGATCTAGTCTTGGTTATTTTATTTTTATGTGTCTGTATGCGAATTTACGCAGATTCACAGGTCTTAGGACATTGTCAGTATTCTTTGTCAGAGAACTGTTCACCTCCATGTAGAAATGTTGTCTCATAGTTCTGGTCACCAATTAGGCTAATCTGCCTCCTCAGTGATCTTCCAAAATAATACACTCTCTGTCTTCCTAGGATTACAAGTACTTGCCATCCTGCCTTGGTTCTAGTCTCAAATTCATGTCTTGCTCTTGTAAGGCATAGACTGCCAGACTGTGCCACCCCCTCAGCTTGTTGGTCTTATTTGTTTATAAAGCATGCTCTGATTGTTCAAATTAAAGACACATAGACCAATGCAACAAAATAGAAAATTCAAGCATGCATGCATGAGATTTCTGACACTTGAAATTTGATAAAGTCACCAAAAAGCACACACTGGCAGAAAGGCAGCACCTTCACCAAATGGTGCTGACAGAATTGTATTTTCCCCAATAGAAGAATGAAATTAGAACTTCATCTATCACTGTACAGAAAAGTCAGCTCCAAATTAGTCAGAACCTCAGTGCAAAATCTGAAACTGTTAGTGAAGTGCGTAGGCAGTAACTTGTAAGATATAGGTACAGGAAGCAATTTTCTCTTTTGTTTAGTTAGTTTGTTTTGTTTACATTGTCTTTTTGAGACAGGGTCTCCCTGTAGCCCCAGTTTGCCTGGAACTTGCTATGCAGAACAGACTGGTCTCAAACGTACAGAGATTTTCCTTCCTCGGCCTCCTGTGTGCTGAAATGAAAGACATTTGGCACCAAATCCTTAGATATGAGCATACACCGTGATGTAAATTCAGGAGCCAGGAGAATGGCAAGGAAAGGGAAAGAAAGAGTCCAAGAAAGGAGGAGAGTAGTAGACAAGCTTTACCAAGTGGGAATATGGGTATTGGTATATTTAACAGTGAAAGGAAGAGGGAGGGTTATACGAGGAACCATTGGCGTAAAAGTAAATATGGAGCTCAAGAGAGGGGTTATGTAAGAGATAGATATTACCAAGTTGAAAATGGTGAAGACTGAGGACACTTTACCTGAAGAGGGAGAGGGAGAGTTGAACAAGGAAATAAAGAACAGAGATAAATAGAGCTTAGGTGGTACGAAAAAAACAGATAAAACTCACCGAAAATACACATATAGTATCATTACACTGGTGCAGGTGTACAGGTAAAGATTATGTACCAAAAACACAGGTCCAGACAGGAGAAAACCACCTCCAAGTTCTTGATCAGGATAGAACAAGAGACTCCCCAAATAGCACAGGCTATTGCCACAACCCTTGATTGCTTCCCAAACTAGAAGAGTTTGTTGCTGATCATAGGATATAAGATTGCAGCAATGGAGCTGGAACTGAAACAGAAGTCTCAGCCCTGAGCAGTAGCCATCATTCTTTCAGAGGATGCTATGTAAGTATCCTTCAAGAAGAAAAATCAGTCAAAAGCTTTAAAGCCTACTAATCACAACAATGACCAGCACAGTACACTGTCTCTCAATAGCAGTTTTATCTTGGGGGAAATGAATGGCTATGTATTTCTAAAGTCAGCCTGAGGGAACTCATGTATGGTACTGTAAACATAGTTGAATGCATATGCCTGGAGATGTCATAGGTCCTACAGAAAACTACATCCCTAGGCAAACATAATTTCTTACTGTATGTTAAATATATATCCTTTTATTTATAGACATGTATGTCTGAAACCATTGCAAAAGGTGGAGACCATTACAGAGTTCCACAACAGACCAAACAGTGAATGTATCTCTGAGATGTTCAGCCCTAAGTAACACATCAACAGTAGAACATAAGGATCACAGAATTTATGAGAACAGGGAGTAGACAGAAAACTAACGAATCTCTTAATTCTCACCAGTGAAGAGTCCTCACCAAACGGCGGGTGATGAGCACAAGACACAGCTGGTCAAAATGTAGAGAATAAAGAGTGCAGTGCACATGTCCCTGGACAGGAATCCTGCATTGAAACTCACCCACACAGCACTCAGGGACCATCTCAGAAGAGGAAGCAGAAAGACTGTCAAGAGCCAGAATGCTGGACGACTACAAGGAAGCAGTTTTCCAGGATTCTGGGAACTTGTGCATATGAACTTTCAGCAATGACAGCATACACAAGACCACTGCAAACTCATCCCAGACGAAACACAGCATAGACCTCAGGAAATGGGCCGGAAGCCCAGTCTCAGCTGAGAAACTTTGGCAGCTCATCACTGCTGGGTTCTGGAGAGCTGATCTTCTTTAAGGGAGTGAGGCTAGACAGGGTGATCTGGCTCTAGGGGATGAACTCACACTGAGGAACATCTGGGGACACAGAGTTCACTGAATAACCCTTAACACATGTGATAGAATGCATGAACTCTGCTGGGTCAGCTGGCGGGGATGCAAATAGGGGAGGCCCTAAATATGATAAAGACATATTGAATGTAATGTACAAACGTAAATGAAAATAGATATTGAAAAGAACAAAGCTTAATAAATCTATAATATTCTTTGAGCAAATTTAAGAAATTCCTTATTGAAGGAGAGTGGATAATTTTTTAAGGGAGAGACTCTAGATAGGCTGTGTGGACTCCAGTGGATGAATTGCACTGAAGGACATCTGGTACAAATGGTTGACTGGACAGGACTTAACATACATGACAGAATGCATGAAATCTTATGGGGGAGGTTGTGTAGGGTGTGGGTTGGAGGGGGAAGTCTCAATTTGATTAAGATCTATTATATAAAATGACCAATAAGAATGTAGTAATTTTTAAAATTTATAAAACTATTCTTGACCTTGGTTCATTTACACACTTTGTTCCAAGTTTGTAAAAAGTGACATATGAAATCCAAGGAAATTAAGTCTTGAATGTGGCCTTGAGTCTTGTCCCATTTCCATAATCAGTGTTTGGTATGTGAAAGGAATATTCAGACTTTGCTTGGCAGAAGCCATGTGTATTTGCTGTTTTGTACATCCTATACTGGCATTCCTGTGTGTGGAATTTGGTTTAGTATTGGTTTGTATATTTATGGAGTCAAAACCGTGTGGGCTTACCTTGGGTAAGTTTACTCTACTAGGTGTTCTAAAGTGAAATGTCTCCCATTGTAAGGCATTGAGAGTGGTTTTAGTAGTGCCTTTGTTTCAGTATGGAATGAAGTTTCAGAGCGGTAAGATTATTGATGTGTTTATGAAACTGTGCGAGACAGACATGAAGTGTCTTCCCCTATCCAGGACCACCTAATTTTTATTTTAGAATGTCTCTTCCTGAACCTGGAGCTTCCTGTTTTTGTTATGTTGGCTGGCAAATGCTTGAATCATAGAGCACTGAGAGTCATGGAGGGAACAACCTGGAAACTTTGACACAACAGCCTAGATTCCATGTACTGGAAAGCTTGATACACATTACAGGATACATCAGCATCAGCCTTACCCATCTGTGAACTGCCCAGGGAGCTACAAAAATGACTGGTCTGTCAAGTCATGGCCATTGGAGGAATATTGACAAAAGTCTGCTAATGAGGGATGAGACTGGTCTACTGCACTGTGTTTCTATTTTTTTTTTTTCAGAAGCTGGAAAATTTTCTTGTATTCTGACTGACGAGTCCAGGTTTTTTTGTGTTTACAGAGATATAGGCATGCCACGGATGACATTAATGAGCGCTACTGATGTGAAGGAAAATCACAAAATAAGACGAGGCTGAAAGACGAACGTGAGGTAACAGGTCCCCTTTTCCCTAAGATTACAATCTGGAGTGGTGGTTCAGTAAGTAAAGAACTTGCCCTGCACGCATGACTGTCTTTTTGGAGGCAGAATCCACATGGAAAGCGATGTGAGGGAGTAGGTAATCTGCCCAGATCTGGGGCGGGCATGGAGACAACTCCCTGCAAACAGCTAGTAAACCAGCCTCATCGAATGTGAGCTCTTGGTTCAGAAATGTTAAAGCATCAGGTGAAGAGCGATTGAGGGAGACACCAGACACCAGCATCTCCTCCACAACCATGTGTACATCGTGCATGTTCATGTAAAAGGACGCCCACACATATGCAAACATGTGTACATACATAAACCTAACACATACACACATATGAATGTACACACACATGTGGATGCAAAGACACTAAAACACACACACACACAATGAGAAACACACATTCACAATGAAGACACACAACCCACACAGAATAAGCTGGCTATTTTATAAGTTCATCTTCTTACCCTTCAGATCATGGCACTTACTTTTCTCCTTTTTCCTTCTTGTTCCCAAACTAACCCCTCTCTTTCTCTTTATTGCCCAGGACTACGTTCACTTCCTTTTAGGAGGAACTTGATTGGGCCATCTCTGATGACATGTGTCAGAGACAGAGTGACTGAATTACATGGAATTTGCCTAAAAGGATTCAATGGGGGACCAAGTTTGAAGAGCTATTAGAGATATTTAGGGACACTTCATAGTGGCTTCCTAACTGATTTAGACGGTTGGCTACATTATGACATGTGCGATAGTGCAAAAGTCTGATAGTCCATCCGTAGACTATAAAACTGGCACAAAGAGAGCGGTTTGTTTACAACACCCATCCCCAGAATTCCATGTTTGAGTCAGAGTGGATCCCTTGATTACTAGTAAACTCTTACTTTGGTTTCAACAATTTCACAGACGTAAATTGCTCTGATTCTAAAGTCAGATGACAAGTATCTTATTTGTAAGTTAAATGTCACTTATTTATGATAATTTTTACAGGAACATCACAATACATTGCATCGAACGTGCAGTAAATGGACAAAATAATCTGCCAAAATTTCACCTTGAATTAGGCATTTAGGAAAAAACATATTTTATTTTATTTCTTCTGATACGTGCATCCAAAATGTAAAGATTTAAGGATTCTTGGGATCTGGATGCCTGAGGGGCCTTTTGAGGGGCATTTCCGCAGCAAAGGACGTGGAGAGCACTCAGCACGCATTGCTATAGACCTCACGGCACCTTAGGACCTTGAGGTAGTTGTCAGCCCTGTGCGTGTCCCTGCTCAGGCAGCGAATCACGTTGAAAAGAGCAAAGTGGCGAGTGTCCTCGTTGGGCGACTTCAAGTCTGCCTGTCCGGTCCAAGCGGGATAGGCGCCTTCTTCAATGCCAGGGTACTCCTAGCCAGGAACACCACAGGAATCAGTTATCTTATTAGTATGAGTTCTTTGTTATTGCTTCCTAGTGCACATGTCTTCATGTATAAGTACATTTCCACATATGAGGTTTGTGGGGGCATAAATGTACATGCATTTGGAGGGCACAGGTCAATGTGAGAGGTCCCTCAAGTGATTTCCACCAAGCTCTCAGATACAGGTTCTACTATTTTCCCATAGAACGCACCAGATAGTAGCCTCTCTTTCATTCTAGTGGTAGAATTTCAAGCACAATTCACCTCAGCTCTTTATCCAGTTAGATTCCAGGAATCGTTTTCAGATCCCAATGTTTGCAAGAAAGGCACTTTTAGACTGAGCCATCTGCAAACCCTAGACTGTATTCCTTCTAAATACAGAGTGAAGTTTGGGTAAAAATGACTTAGGTCACAGGCAATGAACCAAAGCCAAGAACTTTTGATGACGTAAGCAAAGGAAAATTACAACTGAAAGTTCTGTTTATATTTCTAAATGGCAATTGACCCCAAGTGAGGGGTGTATCACAGGAAGAACCACTGGAGGACCAGGACATGGAGTAACCAGGGCATGAGGAATGTACCCATGTCTACTCTTTCAATGAAGGGGATTCTGTACATCCTTAGCACTTTCCCTTACCTGCTCTTCATAATTTTCTGGACATGCAAGTGTTTCTTGGTCCTCATGTACGTTTCACTTACATCTATATTCTATATCATATATTTTTCAGAATCTTTAGACATAGTAAGGGTTTAATTTGATGTGTAATGATGTAAGTTGTTCAGGGATGACAGACATAAGAAGACCTGCTGGTGTAGGCAGTTGTGTTCAAGCCTCCCAGGAATGCTCCTGACCCAAGATTTTAAGGAACAACTTTTTCTTCCAAACACCCTTGTTTTCCTAGGTTATAATTAAAAAACATTTGAAAATGTTGGTTTTACATGAAGCTCCTTATTCCCAAAGCTTGGAAAAAGAGGTTTCCTAAATTTTAGTATTCCAAAGGAAATAATCTCACAATTCATTTCTCATTGCAGAATCACCTCTTTCATGAGTGACATGGGGAAACATACGTGAGGAGAGGGCTCACCTTGCTGAGAATCACCTTCATTCCTTCGAGGAGCACTTCATTTTTTTCTTGCACTGCCTTGACTCTTGACAGCATCGCATCAGAGGCTCCTTCAAGAGCAACGACTGCAGGCACTAGGTCCTTCATGGCATCTTTCCAAGCATGGAAAGTACTGATGGTCACTTTGAGAATGTCTTCAGTCTAAGCAATCACGAATGATCATCACATTAGAATGGTGATATATAACGTGGTTACATGCATTTAGTGTCTGCAAATCGATGAACTACAGTACCCAGGTGCTATTACTACAAGTATTTAAAATACTTTTGGTACATGGTACAGACTGAAATTTTCAAATTTTGCCATTGATTGATAGCTTGGTATAATAAACTGCTATGATCTTTACAATTATTTTCTAATGATAAGTCAAGCAGATCCTATCTTATTTTTCTTCTAAATTCTTCCATTTGCAAGACTGACATATTTTCTACTGACTGCTTAGGGAAATCAAGACAGTGCTGGGTCCTATTACCTGTCCCCAGTGTCTGTTTCACATCTAATACATCCAACACGTTGCCTGCAAGAACTGCAATCATTTATCTAATGCTGAATGATCAGTCCCACACTCACTTCTGATTTTCCTATTATTGTACAATATTCAAATAAAGATTCAATGAAGAAGTCACAGCTTTCCAAACCAAACTTCCCTCAGCCTCCATGACTCCCTTTCCCTTCCTTCTCAGAGTAGCCCATTTTTTGTCGTCTGTAGGTGAACAAAAATGGCACAACAGCATCACTGCAAATCCCAATGGATTTTAAGACCAAGGTGTGATCATTGCCAGAATCACGCTCAGTAGTGGTGATGAAAATGGGCCATAGCGAGGAATCATGTTTGTGTTGTAAAGGGATGTGTAAATGTCATGCTGGAAAGGAGCAGGCCACATGCTGATATTATATTTGTTTGATGGAGTCTTGTGGTAAGAAGATTAAGGGTTAGGCCAAGAATTGGATGAAGCCCTGCTATGCATCTTATGTGGCATGTAAGTTTTACACATCCTACTTAGCAGTTTGGATCTTCAATCATATTTCTTTTAATTTTTAAAAATCATTTTATATGTAGGAAAGCATTGTCTGCATGTGTGTAAGTGCACCCATGTTGTGCAATGTCAGCAGACATCAGAAGAGGTTGTTTGAACCCCTGGAACTGGAATTACAGAAGGCAGTTAGCTGCCATGTGGGGCCTGGTATTTGAGCCTCAGTTCTCTGCAAGAGCAGTCAGTGCTCTTAACTGCTGAGTCATCTCTCCAACCTTATATTTCTAATAAGACCTTGTATATAATTTTTTCATGGATTTTTTGCATCAGAGCAGTAGATTGCTTCTGTCATTTCAGGGATGAAGCACCAATAAGTGTTCTATCATGTTCACCTCTTCCTCCTGTATACTCACTCACCTAGTCATGTTATTAATGTGTATCCCTTCAGTATCGTTTGTCAGTGCTACTAATAAAATCATCAATGGAGAACAAATTTTATGTTTTTGTTGAATACACACATGATGTTGAATTTAATTCATACTCTGATTATGTAAGGGTGTCACCGGGGAGGAAAGACACAGTTACACACTATGGTTTCTGGGATATGTAGACCTAATGAGGAGAGAGCTCATCCTTGACAGTAGTTCAGTATCTATTGAACTCTCCTATACAGCTGACTTTCAGTTAACACATAGGAGGAGGCAGGACTCTTAGGGTAGACAGCATATATATGGGAAGAAACAAACATAAGAACAGAAATAACTAGAAACCCAAAAAGAAATGACGTATTTGTGATGGAGAGATGGTTCAGCACTTATGAGCACTGGCTACTCTTGCAGAGGACTCAGGTTCAATTCTCAGCACCCATATGACAGCTAACAACAATCCATAATTCAATTTTCAGAGTAATCCAAAACTGCCTTCTAACCTCCATGAGCATTCCACAACACAGGTGCGCATACATACATGCAAGCAATAAACTCATATACATAAAATGAAAATAACAAATAAAATATTTTTAAATGACATATTGTCCAGAAAAGTAACATGCTTCTTGTATGGAAGATCCTTTGATAATGTACCATAAGTACAACTGCATTTGAATTTCTTCAGCATGTATACAAATGTATATTGACTCGAGAATGTCCAATTCAGTTCAAAGCTTGCCATAGAGTATGAACGGAATGTGCTGTTAAAAATGGTCCTCTCTCTGAGCAATGTTTAAAAAATTATCAGCTGTACAATGTGATCATTTCAGTTGCTCTTTCTCATCCTATTATGTAAGATCTGTGACTACCACAGACCTGTGCAGTGCCTCTGATAACCTACAGACCAACTAACCTGAGGCTACTAAAGTCATTGAAGCACAAATCAGGGAGGAGACTTACTTTTGTGTTGTGGACTTGCTCGCGGCTGTCTGGAGTAGGAATAGAAGCTGTGTGGCAGGGGATTGGCTTCCTGTACTGTAACCAACTAACCTTCATAAACTTTTGTGTCTGGAAATAGTAAGTGATTCAATATGTTAGCATTTCAGAACTGAAGAAGTCCATCTATGGCCAGCACTTTAGTGAAATTGATACATATTTAATTTTTAATGATACCTACATATAAACTGTGCTTGATTTATAATGAAAAAATTCTCTGCATCCGTTTCATTACCATTACATAGAGAATTTAGTTCTTAACCCACCCTACTTATGCCCATATTTACAATTGTCTTATTGTTTTTCCGCTGGCTAAAATTTTTGGATTAAAATCACTGTAACACAAAAATGTGAATCCCTAGGTATCTTAAATGTATTCTTCACTCAGTGTTCAAGAAAAATGGCATAGAACAGTGTGAGTGCACACAAAATTAAAAATCTCTTGCTAATTGATATTGCAAATGGTTTTATTTCTTTAAACAAGGAATCTAAAAATTATAGCTTTTATTGGATTATCACTGAGTTTTTATGATTTCGTTATATTAAGTTCCTGACAAATTTAGGTTGCAATCATGCTGATGGTCTCAAAATTAAAAATGAAGTCATATTTGTAACAAAAAATTAGCAATGGACAAATAAAGAATTCAGATATTATTCATTGTTTATTCATTGATTAATTGAAGACTACAACTGCTTAATATATTATTAATTGAAGATACATATTTTTTAAACATAACAATCATAAAAACTGTAAATGTTTAATGTCTCCCCAAGAAGGCTGGGATGAAGAATGTTTGTCACTCAAGAAGTGGAAAGAATCACTAGTGTGTGAAAAACACACTACAAATTGACAGAAATATCTTCTAGATTACCAGTTTTGTACTGAGTCTTTATAATTTTCTCCTTATTGAGTGACCTTGATCACACTCCACATATGCATTACAGAAATGTTTTTCCACTTCTAAACTAGCCATCTCTCAAAACAATGATTTGAATCACTGGGGAGTTTCTGAGAATCCATTATAATTTGTTTGTTTCTTCTGCTTTACATAGTTTCACATGATGATGGCTTTGTTATGCCCACACAACTGTCTGCTGTGCAGTTTGGGGATACTGGGTATTTACAAAACAATAAAGTATATCCCTGAAAACTGGGCATCTCTACTCAAGATGTGTAAATCACAGCTTTTCTATGGCCATTCTTTTAGTCACATAAATGATTAAAAAATATAATAATAATTCTTCAAAGCATAAAAATTTGCTCATTAAAAATTAGAAGATGGGAAAAACACTACCATTGAAATCTACCTGATGACTTTATATCGATGCTCAGATGCCAAGGAGCTTAGAAAGTAACTGAGTGTGGCTAGTAATAAGCAGATATATAGAGATTAAAAACGCATTTGCAAACATCTTAATGTCAATTGCATTAAAAATGAAGTTTTCTGTATGAAAGTCTGTATTTTAATTATGAAATGGAGATCTTTTTAAAGGTAAACCTCATTCAATTTTGTGTCTTATAGGGTTTATACTGCGTACAATATTATATAACTGTAATAATTCAAATGTAAACCTAAAAATTACAGCCAATTTTGAAAGAAATGCATCTTAGCACAGGAAAATGTTCTTGAATATGTCATTGCTGTTGTAATGAAATGCCCCTTCTAAGTATGTAATTATTAAATAATTTTTAAACACTTTGGTTTTTTAAGATGATTATGGAAAATTTAAAAAACTATTCCTTTCTTTATAAATATTTAAGATTTCATGAACACTCAATTCTCCCTATTCCATGTTTTTTGTATGTGATATTTCTATTACCAAGAAATATACATACATACACATATAATTTGGTTCATACTAATTTCTTATTTAAACTGTCGAGTTCTCTTAGGTCTTGCTTGAGAAAAAAATCAGGGTGGGATACTTACAAACTCACTGTACACTTGCAAGGCGAGGTCATGGTTGTCATGAGACTGAACGACCAAGCGATCATACAGGTCTTTAGTGGACAGCTGGACCTGTGGTAAGGTGACCACGTTCTCCCCCATGAGCAGGTTTGACACCAGCAGCAGCAGGAGGTACCCTGCTGTGAAGAGAGATCCACGCTGAGATGATCTGTTTAAATAAGGTTGCAAGAGCTAACCTGTCTGAGAAATCCCTGTGCCTTCCGAGGCCTGGGCTGCATGATAGAGTTGGCACAGTTCCAGTGAGGAATAAAGTATTCTCACTCTAAAGTTACTGGAAATTACTTACATTTCAATATAGTGAGGGTTGCCTGACTTCACACATATTTAGCTGAACCCGAAAGTGCTTCAAAAATCTGTGAACCTTTTGATCTCATTTGCATACTGGCTCAGAGGGTACAAGGCTTTCTGTTCCAATGTTCTGTTGTCCTGGTAACATATGCTCCTTTCATATTTCATGACCCCTATTGTATTCTGTTACTAATTCATTGTCCAGCAAATATCCAGTACAGAATTAACGTGACTTGCTAGCTTAAGCCAAATTTGTTGGTTTTTTACATCATTTTTTCCTTTTCTCATTGAGCTTTTTAAATTTCATACATTTCCCACTCAAATCCAGCCCCCTCCCCCATCCATGCCTCCTTCTATCCCCCCACAAAACCTTATGCACACTGCCATACATGCTGAGTCCTATTCATTCAGATACCAAAATGTCCGTCAGTGTAAAGGCATCCACTGGAGTCTATTCAGCCCATCCACTGATCCCTGTAAGTCATACTCTCCCTCAACCACCAGCAATCAATCAACTTGTGCTCAATCTAGTGCTGGCCTGTCACCTATTTCTCACAATCTCTTCGGGCCCTTGTTTAACTGAGCTGACATGGGTCATTTGACTTTCACCAAATGAATAAAGACATAAATCTGCTATTACTGCTATATAATCTGCTATTATCCACACAAAACTTCAAAACTTAAAGATCACTCAAGTTGATCTAAGTAAGCCAAAACGTATCCAAGACCCAGATTTCCGCCTCCTCCTTCTGCTATCAAACCAATTGAAACATTGAATCTTGTGTTCTCAATAAAATCCAATCCCTTAATTTCAGAGTTCTGGTCATTTTGATTTAGATTATTTTTTCTCAAAGGTGATCTGTGCAATGGAAGACATTGAATGACATGTACACTTCAGATATCATTAACATTGTCCATTTCCTCATCATGTTTACTAAGGCATCAGAACATGTGCTTGGATATTTCTAACATCTCTACTCAAGGGGGATTCCCTTCCCTACCACCGATATAACTTTTGTAGAGAAAAAACAAAGTAGAAACTAGTTCTCTGCTCTCTTCTCTCTCCAAGCGAGACATGAACAAATGTCAGATACCCACAAACACTACATCACAGCAGAGAAAGCATGCTAACCACATCCACTTGATAAAATAACACATTAGTCAATCTTGCTGAGACCATGGATGAAGGACTACTTACAGGAGCATGTTTGAGTCAAAGTCAGCTGCATCCCTGCGGAGTTTCACCACGTTGTGGTCTCTCACTCAGGAAAGGCTCTTCACCTGAGTTCTGCGTTCAGTCAGCGTTCTCCCTCCTATATACTAGAAGATTGTCCCCAAAGCCAAGCAGTTATTGGGGGCATAAGGAAGCAATGGCCACAGGCCAGGTGACGGTGTAGTGACCCTGTCCCCTTTATCATTACTAACATCCTCTTTACTTTTACCACAGTCCTACCTCCATATGGACTGTTTGGCTTATTGACATATAATCCCTTGACTTTAAGTTATTTTTCAAATTCCCGAAACCTTCCCTGTTCATGATGACTCAGGCAGGAGAATATGCTTATTTACTAATACGTTTCCCTAGTTCAGTTGCTTTTGTGTCCTCTGAAGGAACCCCTGAGTGTCTCTGGTGGACATAAATGCTTACAATTTTTCTCTGAGCGTTGGGTCACCATATCACAGCATCGGGCAACTATCCTCAAGTTTAATCAAGCATTCATTTAGCATGGGGATATCATTGTGTTATGAAAATTGTACAGATGAGGGTCAACCTCAGGAGTGAGCAACGTGGACACCATTATCCACACTTTTCTGACAATAATTACAAGATGCCTTACAGTCCACCCTCAAGAAAACCTCCCCAAATGTGCTAAGAAGCATCTGTTCTCCCAGAGGCCCTTCACCACCTGTACTTATTTCAAGGGTGAAATGTTCACAGCATACCCTGATGCAGGGATACCTGCCTGCCCAGAGACTACTTAGTCTAAAGCAAATCCTGGGCATTCGCTTCCAGGGAGGGGCCCCATCAGCCTCCTCCTATTCTGAGCACATCTTCCAGGGGCCCCATCAGCCTCCTCCTATTCTGAGCACATCTTCCAGGGGCCCCATCAGCCTCCTCCTATTCTGAGCACATCTTCCAGGGGCCCCATCAGCCTCCTCCTATTCTGAGCACATCTTCCAGGGGCCCCATCAGCCTCCTCCTATTCTGAGCACATCTTCCAGGGGCCCCGTCAGCCTCCTCCTATTCTGAGCACATCTTCCAGGGGCCCCATCAGCCTCCTCCTATTCTGAGCACATCTTCCAGGGGCCCCGGCAGCCTCCTCCTATTCTGAGCACATCTTCCAGGGACCCCATCAGCCTCCTCCTATTCTGTGCACACCTTCATTGTTCTTGCGCTCAGATAAGCCGCAGTCTCTCCTACAGTAGCAGTCAAACAAGACTCAATTCAGCAATTCTTCTGAACATAGACAACATGTCCCATCTTAATGCTTTGGTTTGAATTCTGTCCTCCAAAACGAAGTAAAAGATTTCCATTCATGACCTATAATAGGGAAATATCCTGAATGTGTGATCAACTTATCTGTCACCGAAAATACATTTCCAGCAGGGAACAGGTACAACCTCAGTTACATATCCACTAGTGCTCTGCAGCAGGTCAGTTACTCTGACTTACATGCACACCTAGATATGATCTGGACTCTGACCTTCAGATTTTCCTAAAATATTGATGGCCACAGGCATCAGGGGAAGCAGAATGTCACCCTTTTCTCTCTCACCCAATGACATCATAAAGTAAAGAAACACATCTGTTTTCCTTCATCAATAGCATTTCCTACTTTATGTACAAATCATGGGAACTCATGTTTCATATGTATGGATCGACTTTATCATGGACAAATCATGTGTATATCAATTCGTGCTCTCTCTCTGTCTCTGTCGCTGTCTCTCTCTCTGTCTCTCTCTCTCTCTCTCTCTCTCTCTCTCTCTCTCTCTCTCTTTCTGTATATTGAGTTGAGATGCCCAGTACCACATCAGGAGTCATTCTCAGGAAAGCTTTTCACCTCCTTTGACTGAAGTTTATCAGCTTTGATGACCTGGCTGGCCTGTGATCCCCAGAGATCTTGGTGTCCGTGTCTGCTTTTGAAGGGTTATAAAGGATACCACTATGTCTGGCTTCTTCCTCGTGGTCCTGGAGCATGAAATCTGGTCCTTGAATAGGAAATTTAACACTTCACCTGCTAGAACATCCCCTTAGCCTTTTAGTCTTACTTATAACTAGAACTCTGGTTCTTCAGTTTCTAGATTTGCACAGTTTTTTGTGAACCCAAAACGGGTGCTGACTGTGATGTTTTTTCTGCTCATTATGGCAATATGTAAAGAAATTAGATTTGAAAGTTAAAGAAATTATATTATGACAATGACATTGTGAAACTTGTTTAACTGGGGTGTGGATAAGGACAGTTTAGAGTTCAGTGACAGGCATTTATTAGTTCACCTTTTTGTATAGCCACTTAAGGCATTCTTCTGTTTAGATTTTGGCTTAAAAATTTTCCCCTATTTTTGGTGCCAAAATAATCAACTGCATATATGGTGAGTCTATTGCACTAGGTGCTATGTGAGTAGCGTTGGGTTATCACCTTTATTTCATCACTGAATAAGAATTCTGAATGCTTAGATTCTTTTATATGTTTTTCTTTATCTCCCTCCCTCACGTCCCCTTCGTGTGTGTGTATGTGTGAGTTTGTGTGTATGTGAGAGTATTTCCTTAGCAGAGTGTCACTGCTGTAGGCATGTATTGTGAGGGCACTGGTATGGTCTTTCATTTAATAAAACTATCAATGGATTTCACCTTGTAGTTTTGACTGACCAGTGTGTGTTCACTGCCAGGGCAAGGCATGAAAATCGTCTCTGCTTTAAAATGCTTGGTGGACTGATGTCTGTCAGCTTCACTAGTGGTGATGAAAATAAACATCAGGAGGAATTCCAGTGAACGTTGCAATGGAAGAATGTAAATGAAATGAGTGAAAGAGGAGGTCAAGCCATGTCCGTAATGCAGGCACAAGTTGCATTGCATCTTATGATAAAGGGCGAGGCTTGGATTTTGATCATGACCATGTGCATATTATTACTTGGAATGCTTGTGTATCAAATACTATACAACTTTTTGTAAAGTGCGTTACACAATATTTAAAGAATCAAATGGACCAATGCAAATACATTAGTGGATGAAATATTCCAAATGTAGCTCTGAGGAAATGCTCTCTTTTTTCATTTATTAACCCATTCCCCTTATCACAATCGCTTTTTTAGTACTGTAAATAGCCTTTGTACAGCCTGCTGGTAGCAGAAATAAAAACATGAAGGGGGAAGAGATCATGTGTGTGAGGTGTGTGCACACAGGTAGATTTAAATCATACTAAGGTTAGTTATGACAGAGAGTCAAGGGGAAGTGAAAATCCCTGAAAATTAGAGCTGCCAAGATACGTAGACCTGATCCCACAGAGGCCGTCCCTTACAGACTTAGTCCGGAGGACACTCTTGTTCAGCTCTCTCTCATTTCAGATGTTGGAGCGAGCAGGCCAGGTCAGGAGAATGGACATGCAGTAAGAATGCAGAATTAGGACCAGAGAGTGTGGGAAAGTTAAAACGAAATGTGACACTGTTCAGTAACATACCCTGCTGCCTTTGGTGATATATTACAAACAACGCGATTCACCTTCCTCAAACATGTTTGATGTATATTTAAATATACATGTTAAAATCTTTTCAAAGATTCCATCAGCATTTTAAGTACAATCC